TAGGAGAAGGTTGAAGATAGACATGCAGGGAAATAAGCGATGGGGAGGTGGAGAGGCTGACATGAGTTGTTTTCGAGGAAAAGAAAGGCAAATGTTGTCTGAAAAGCTGCTGGAAGAAACCATGCCCACAGATATTTAGACATGACCTGTACCATCCAGCGTGATCGGATAAGAAATACTTATTATCACCTTGATGGTGTCAACACTGTGGTGAGAAATCTTCAGTCTCACAATGGGGTCTCTTTTGCTATGGCTTATAAAAATAAATAAAGCCAGGAATTTGCCAAAGTAGGATCTTAGGCATCCATGTCAGATCATGAGGACTGTGATAAGAGATTCTGTCAAAAGCAGCCTTACACAAAAACTACGTCTGTGAGGACCCCTGCCCAGCAACTGTCTGTCCAACTTCGGGAGGATGCTAACGACGCTTGGAACCACAGATGATGGCTTCAAAACAATTTATGGAAACCTTTCCACTTTATCTTTGATAACCCTTGTCTTCCAAACACACCTATAGTATACCATAACATGCGTGTGCCATATACCCTGCCGGCCCTCAGCAGAGCTCCCTGTTTGTGGAGAGACTCTCTTTGTTGTTCTTTTAGGGTCATTTGTCATGGTAGCCCCAGGAGACTCATCTAATCTGCATGTCATTATCCCTGTGCTGGAGAGATTTTGTAATCTGGATGAGCTGAGAGCCCACACAGAGGGATTAGTGCCCACAGAAAGTGTGCAGACAAGGCTTCCAGTTAGTGGGGAGGACAGCAAAAGTTTGATGAGACCCAAAGAGTGAACTGCACTTAATAGGCAGAAATGGGGTTGATTTGGGAGACCAGAGTGTTCCAAGCACAGGGTCCGATCCAAGAACTGAATCAAAGTAAGCAAAGCTTTTGACACTCACAGCTGTCAAGTGGCCCAGGCTGGGGGAGCCAGCCTAGGACAGAGGTCTAGAAAGGCAGGTTAGAAGGCCCTGAAACAAGGGATGTGCTTTTGGACATATTTGCATGCTAAAGACATGCTGAGCTGGTATCAAGTTCACCCAGTTACTGCTCACTGTTACTTTACAGACAGAAAGGGAATTAAAAGATTAATTTACTTTCCCTAAGGTCACTAGCTAGCCCTGTAATAGGACCAGCATGAAAATCTGCACTTTTTCAGTCCTGAGTCATCTTTGTAGTAAATCTTTCTGTCTTTTAAAATGCTCCTTCTCCTAAGGCTTCGTTTCAAATCTTTTGGTACTGAACATGAATTAACTGCTACTTTTTGAGCCTGGCTATTTAGAGTACTTATTAGCTACCTCTCTGGTTCTGGCTTAGAAACACACACACACACACACACACACACACACACAAAGTCTTTTCATAAAAATTCTTACTGGTGCAACTGGTCTCTCCCCTCACATTCCCTTTCAATCTCACTAACCTTAGTGCATGACTTGTAATTTAAAATAAGCCTATGAGAATCACCATTTAAAATTTTTTACTTCTAATATTATGCTACATTTACACTTTTAAATCTGGCCAACTTTAAGTTAAGAAGTGTTCTGTTATCTACAGCTTCAGCTAACTCCTATTGACTTTTTTTTTAAGTGAAAGATAAGCTCCTGGTAAGAAAATTAAAATACTGCAGGAAAGCAAACAGCATAGTGTTAACCCATTCTGGACCCCTCCTGTCTCTCAGGACCCATTCCTTCAATAAAATTTCCTACTTAAAAAAAAAAAAAAAACCAACAGCGTGAATAGTCAAAAGCTCTCCTTAGATTGCTGCCAGATCTTTCCCCGAATATATACATCACCAACACAGCCTTGATTGTCTTTTCAGGAAATAAAAAGGAAAATGTAGATATTTTTCCCAACGTAACACTAAATGCAATGTCCAGGGCCATGCTTTTTAAAATTACCAGGAAACTCTGTAGCTCACAGAGCCGCTGTAAAACATGAACTCAGGTTCCGTGATCAGGGCGTGCCACTGTTTAACCAGAATTCTACTACGGATAGGACTGCATGTGCAGTCCTACACGTGCATTCAATCTAGAAATGTTTTTGCAAGTAGAACAGAGTTAGTTCCTAGCAGTGGAATCACTGGATTTTATGGGCACATCTTTCTCAGAAGCCTTTGATCCCCACTTCCCCAGCACTGCAATTGGAATAAAATGCAAAGACCTCAGCTTGGAGTACCTGGGCTAAGGTGACCCCTTCCTCCAACTCTTTGGCCTCACTACCTACCACTTATGACCTGGGATCCCTTTGTCCCTGCAAACCCTTTACCTCAGGACCTTTACACTTACTTTCCATTCCGCAAGAGAGGTGCCAACCCAAAGTCACTCCTTCATAGAGGCCTGCCAGGTTGACAGGAACACCCCTAGGTTTCAAGGCCTGCTAATTTTAATGATCTTTCCTCCCTCTGCAATGTGGGCCTCCAGGCAGCAGAAGCTGTGTCCTTGCGCCCTCCCCTGCTTCCCAGGAGCTCAGATGAGTAGGTGCTCTCCAAGGGTTGAGCGCTATCCACTTCAAATGACCTCAGGGCTGCCAAAGTGCTTGCCAGACAGCCAGCAGTTTCAGAGCTCAACAGCGCCCCCTCTGCACGCCTTTTCATACTGACCTCCACGTGGGTCAAGGAAAAGGGACGCACCGCCCACTTTAGAGTGATTTTTCCTTACATATATATAACAACAAATCAGAAAGTTGGATATAAGCACTGACATTCCTTTCTTTATTCATTTGAGATGGGATCTCACAACTGGTGCTGATCCTCCTGCCTCTGCTTCTAGGGAGCTGGGATTATAGGTGTGCTCCCCCTCCCCCCATGCCAGGTTTTAAAATTTGTTTTTCACTTTTGTTTTTGAGACAGGGTCTTGCTATGTAGTTTAGACCAGCCTGAAACTCACAGTGATCCTCCTGCTTCAGCCTCCCATGTGCTGGGTTTAGAGGTGCATGTACTTCCCACTCCACAAAATTTGTTTTTGACATAACTCCAAACCCATTTTGAGAAAATAAGCAGGCATTTGCAGTGATTATTTGAATAAGAAAAACAGTAACCAAATGCAGATTTCTCGAACTTCTTGGAAATATGTTATTTAGAATAGCGGATTTAAAACCGAATCCTTTATAGACAAAAGAAAGACCATCAATGAGACCACCAGGGGGGTGAGCCAGGAACTAAGACAGTGTAGGAAAGGCCATCTTTGTTCCTGGCTCACCTCCCTAGTGGTTTCATTTATTTAAACAAGCATTTGTTCGCCTCACAATTTACGGATATCCTAACAGGTCAAGGCATTAAGCAAAACTTCTCAGGCTTCTGAGCAAGCGGGACTGCCCACACTGCCGGCCTCGCCCCTCCGAAGTCCCCAGCAACTTAGGGAAGCAACTTGGGCGAAGCAGCTGGCTGGACCAGCAGCAGCAGTCTCTGGAATCTTCAGAGCATCAACCTGCATATTAACCTGCTAATTACCACCTCAGCCCTTTGACAGATGGCATACTGCACTGCGTTTCTTTGAACTCTTTATTTAATGTACTTTGTTTTCCTTCTTTACGCAGATATTTTTCTCTGTTCCCACTCTGAGTCCAGAGTCAGTCATCGCTCTTCTGACTACCTGGCAGGTGGGAGATGCACAACGGAGGTTTTCTTCCTGGCCCTGTATAACGGGCATCTCGTTTTGTTTAATTTCATTTCACTTAATAATAATGACTATTATTTGTGGTCCGCAGGACTGAATCCACTGCCTCTCGCACGCAGGGTAGGCGACTGCCAGGCCACCTCCCCACCCAGCCGCTGCGTTTAATTCTGAGGGCATAGATCGCTGATTGTTTAAAAATTAACAAGGACATCTCAACGTTGGATTATCGAGTATCTCTATGTCACACATTTCGTTTTCCCTAACTCTTGGAGGAAATGAGTGAACGGGAGGGTGACGTAGAGAGCACTATTCTGTCCAGAAGCAGGGTGCATGGGGAGGCCAAGGTTAAAACGACCTTGCGGGGACGCTGGGGTTCGGCAGGGGTCAACACTGCACCCAGTCCTCTCCTCGCAAGCTCCTGGGCTCAACCAACCCGCGCAGCAGATAGAGCGCGATTATTCATGCATGCAAACAGTTTTTACATTGGACCAGTCGATCCAGTTCTGTGCGCGAAGCCACCGTCCTCCTTTGTCTCCGCGAGCTAATTACCCCCTGCCCCCAGCTGGCCGGTCCGCAGCCACCTAAACCCGCTCGCCGCCTCGCTTCCACTTCCGGCCCCCGGGCTCGCCGCGCTGCCCACGGCGTCCGCCCAGCATCCCAGGGCCGCGCGCGCTCGCGGAGGTCTGCGGGCCCGGGCGCCGCTCACGTGAGTCCCCCGGCCGCGCGCCCCTCGGTGCGGTCCCCGCGCTGGCCGGCCCGGGGGTGCTGGTGCGAGCGGGAGCCGGCAGGGCCCCCCGGTCCCCGTCGTCTCCGCGCTGCCGGAACCCCATTGGGAGGCCACGAGGTCGGGAAGGGGCGCGGCGACCCCGGGCCTCCTCCTCCTCCTCCTCCTGCCGGCCCTCCTCCTCCGCCGCCAGCCCCCGGGCGGGGAGCGCGCGTGCTCGGGCGCGCCCTCCGTCGCAAAGGGTTAACGCTCCCGATCGCACGAGGGGGAGGAGATTTCCCTGCAGACGAGTAGAAAGCGTGATGGACGAACGTGCGGGCGCTAAGACCGCAAGGCGTCGTCTCCTCCCCGCTGGCTGCGGACGCCGGGAGCCCGCGCGGCCGAGCAAGGCATGCTGCCCCCTGGATGTGGCTGAGGCGGCCGGCGGCCCGGGGTGGGTGGGCGCGCAGGCGGGAGAGCCCTCCCCGGCCGGCGCTTTACCGATTATTTTATTTTGTGTAGAGAACACGTAGCGACTCCGAAGATCAGCCCCAATGAACATGTCAGTGTTGACCTTACAAGAATACGAATTTGAAAAGCAGTTCAACGAAAATGAAGCCATCCAGTGGATGCAGGAGAACTGGTAAGGCGATGCCGCGCGCTGCGATCCCGGGCTGGGCGTGGACGGCGCGGGACCTGGGGGCCCGGGGCCCGGTGCAGGTGGGCGCCGCGGCCCCTACGCGTTTCCTCGCCTTACGTAACAGAGCGGCGTGCGCCGGGTGATGAGCGCGGCCGGCCCGGGTGGGAGATACCTGGGTCCACACCGCGCGTGCCGCCCCAGGCTCCATCCAGTGTTGGGTGTCCGCCCGGCCGTGGCGGGCGGACCCGGCTCGCTCCCCGCTGCTAACCCCGGCTCCCTCGCGTCCTTGCTTTCTCCTTGCAGCGGCCCCAGCCCCCCGCCCTCCGCTGCGTCCAGCCCCTGCCTGGGGCTCCTTCCTAGGACCCCTCTCCCCGTGCTTTCCCCTTCCGGTACCCCGGACCTGGAGCCAGGGACGTGAAGGAAGGGATCGTACAGCCTGGGCTGAAAATGAATGAACCGAGCGAGCGAGCCATGCCGCGATCAAGTTTCTGTTGCGCGGAGGCGCCTTACTGACGCGCTCACTTTCCCGCTCGCGCTGTCTGGAGTCAGGGCGCACACACCAGGAAACATCTCAGCGTGCAGAACCCGTGGGGGGCTCCTCCCCAGGAAAACTTATTCTCTGGGTCTGGGAAGCCTCCGGTGGACGGAGCCCCCTCCCTCCGCCAGTCCTGTAGAAAACCCCCCACAGGAGTTTCTGGAGGCGGCCGGTGTCAGGAGGCGGTTGGTGTCACCTTGCGAGGTGCACTGAGGCGGTGCAGTACCCACCGGCCTCTTCCTTGTGGCCAGGCTGTGGCCGGCGGGGGGGGGGGCGCTCTCTGCCTTGCACCTCGGGTCTGCGCCTCTGAAACGCCAGCCCAGCCTTTCCGGAGCGGGACCGGGCAGCCTGGGGCCTGGGCGGGGCGCGGGGCACACCCCCGCAGGCGGCGTGGTGGAGGGTTGCTGCGGATCCGGCCCGACTGAGGGTTCAGCCTCCTGCGCCCTGGCGGCCATGACCCTCGTCCCGAGGCGCCCCCGCCCGACCCGCGCGCGCCCTCTGTGGTTCCCTAGCCGGAGGCTGGGGGCGCATGGCCCTTGGCGGCCGCATTCAGGCGGAACCTGCCTGGGGCGGCGCGGGCCGGGCCGGGCTTCTGGGGACCCGGGAGGGCTCGCCGGCCGGGCGGGGCAGGGTTGGTACCTGGAGCCGGGGCACCCGAAGCGGCTACAGTCGCGTTGCATGAAGGAGGCATGGGAGAGGCGCGGCCTTTGGGAAGCCTACCTTCTGGGCCGTACCGCTCGCTGAGATCCCTGCCTATGCATCTTGTCCTCCCGCGGAGGGGCGACCCTGGCCCCCGGCGTGGCTGTGACCCCAGCGGCCGTTGTCGCCCGGTGAGCGCCCACCCATCCATCTTCCACCCCTGAACCTTGCGCGCGCCCGAGGCTCGCCGCTGCGTCCTGGTAGGACCTGCCTTTCCGGAGCGGCTTCCGCGCGCCTTGCCGGCTCAGTGCTTTCACTGTCGGCCCTCCGCGGTCGGTTCTCCTGTCTCCTGTTTATTGCTACCTTGTCTCTAAAGCCACTTCCCAGGGCTGCCCGGGATTCTTGCCTGGCAGTCTCTCCATTCACTCAGTAAGTTCTGGCGGAGCCAGCGGGCCCTGGCCCTCCTGGGACAGCAGATGGCAAGAGTGCATGAACATCACCTCTGCAGCTCCCAAGCTTCCCACTGCATCTTCCTGAATTTTAGCTCTGTACTGGAAGATGCACAGACCTGGCCGCGCGCTCCGCAGACCACCATCTGTCAAGGGCGAGGGCCCAGACCTTGTGCCTGGCACTACTGGTTCTTCAGGGCACCCGGTGGAGTGCTGCTGGCGCCCCTTGTATGGCTAGCCCCATCTGTGAATGCCAGGATCCCGGGTTTACCCGCCTCGGCCTATCCCTGTGCTTTGGACCTGGTTTTCCCTTCCTCCCTTCTGCTCTTCCTGGACTTTATGTTCTTCTGAAAATGCATATCATTCAGAGGAGTCTGCAGTTCTTATTCTTCCCTGGCGCACTTCACCCAGCATCCCAGAGGCCCGGTTGTAGAACTCTCCCTACTCCCCAGTTGAGCCAGGTGTAGACCAAAAAAAAAAAAAAAAATGAGGCTCTGCCTTTCATTTCCTTTGCAAACAGGAGAAGGGAGCGCCATACTCAAGGCTTACTCTCTTGGAGAGGAGCAGGGAAAGCGCTTTAAAAAAAGACACCTTTCCCAGTTCTCATTTACTGTATTTGAAATACAGTAGCTTCTGAAGGAAGCTGGGCAGCTGCTGTTTTGAAGATTTATTTGTAGCTGTTTTTAAAAATCTAGTTCACATATCTTCAAACAAAGCTTGCTAATTGGGGTTATGAATTTATCATAAATTCGCCATAAAGTCGCCAAAACCCTGGGTTTTATCATAAAAACCCAGGGTTTTGGCGACTTGAGAGGGTTTAAACCTACCCCATGCTGCACATACTCATGAAACAGTCTTAATTATTTAAATGTTTTTTGTAGTGGTGTTTGTATGAACTCCAAAGGGTCGGACTGAGACACATTTATGAATTATATTGTTGCTGCTTTAATGTTTAACCTGATACTCATTGGCCTAGACATGAAATAGGCTTGTTTACTTTTGTAGCAAATAGTTGCATATATCATAGAATAGCGACTGAAATGCTCAGAGAGGTATTTTCCCCTGGAGAATCATTCTGAGACATCTTGAAACAACATTGCCAGTTAAAAGCGTCCTGGGTCGTATGGTCAGGTAAATGTGGAGGGAAGTACCTGCCCTATGCTCTAAACAGCCTTCTGGGTTCCGATTTACCCCAAAACGTCCTTGTAATTTTACAGAGTTTGTTACTCTCACTAACATCTGACTGCTGTAAGCACTGCTTGGAAAGGCTTGGAAAAACTCACCGAGCCGGGAGAAACAGGCTCTGCTTACAGCCGAAGCAGCCAGAGAGCAGCAACAGCGGACGCTGGCTGCTGTAATTGTCTGGCCAGTAAGAATTATGTTCTGATGTCGGCTGACACGGAACCCACCAATAGGAAGGCGGGAGGCCTGTGCTGACTGCTGTCACATTCTGTGTGCGCCGTGACGTCACGCAGGGCTTGCCCGGACCTCAGGAAACCCTCCTCCCTCCCCTTCGCTGCCCTCCCCCTTCCTCTCCCTCCCACTTGTTCTGCTGGCCTCGTCCTCCTCCAGTCTTTCAAGGCTTTTGTCGATTTTTCTGACTTTTTCTTTCCTCTCCTCCCACGGGGATGGTTATAAGGGTTTTATTGTTTTTATATTTTGATGCTGTGTTATGGAGTTATGAGACAGGAATTTCTAGAAAAACTGGCCTGTGGAGGAAACCTTTTTATTTGCAAAATTGTTTCTACCAAAGAGTTGCAGATACGTGTATTTTTTTCTTCTGGGTGAGGTTTAGCAAGTAACAAGATGTACAATTTCAGGATGAACGAACATGCAGAGCCGTGTAGACCCCAAATTAGTGTTTACTGAAAACATCGCAGCATCAGGGCGGCAGCGTTCGCACAGGCACAGCATTAGGCTGTCCTAAGAACTGCTTTGAGTCGCTCCCTCCTTCTGGTGACCTGCTGCATGCATCAGTGAGAAGAGCTGGAAGAGTGCAGTCTCCTGCATACACTAGCTCAGGGTTCAGGCAGTTACATTACAGCCAGTGTGATTTGGGTCAGGGCCGAGGACTGTACTGTGTCCCCATGAGGCTCGTTGCATCCCTTGTTACCACTTACTTTGCAGAGTCAGATTATAGTCAGTGTAGAAATGAAAAGTCTTAAGCATGAGGAATTTAAGCGTCATTCGGTAAATTTTAGAAAGGGATGAGATGTAGGTGTCACGTGTGGTAGGGTAAAGTAAGAAAGTAGAGATGGGTGTGGTGGCACACGCCTGTAGCCTGTAATCGCAGCCCTCCAGAGGGTGAGGCAGGAGGATCAGCGCTCAAGGCCAGCCTGAACTGCAAAACAAGACTGTCTCAAAAAGACGAAAAGAAAAAAAAGTGGCAAAAATACTGTGCTAAATGTGATCTATGTTAGGGGCCTCAACATACTAAAAAGTTGGGTGGGAACTTTGAATTGTTATGTATCTTTCAAGAAATGATGTCTCTTCATGCAACCCTTGTTTAGGTTTCCCAAGGATGAAAGCCTGTTGTAAATCATTTTGTGCCTATATTATCCGTTTGTATGCTTGCATTAGTTGGTATATGGTGGGTTTTGTTTGTTTGTTTTGGTAACATAAGACCTCTTGTTAAATCGCATGTTAAATGTTGTGGTCTCTAGCACAGTGCTTGAGACTTTTGTGTTGGTGATTGTAAAAATGTCAGAGCATAACATTAGACTTTGACTTCAGAGGTGCCTCTTTGCATATGCATGAGTGGCTTTAGGAACGTCCTCCAAGAAGCTCTTTCAGCTCAGATGAGAAGCTGTGAAAGGGACTTAGACTGAGAAATACTTAAGATATAAAATTCCCCCAGTGAAATGAAGCCGAGTGGCACTGTTACAGCAGTTCAAGAATTTACCTTTGCATTAATGATTTGTAATATTTTAGGTCCATGTATTATTTTTTGAAGCCAGTTATCCAAAAATTGTTCTGATACTGTACTTAACCTTTTTTGGAGTGGGTGCTCGAGTGCGTGGCTTTTGATTCACCCGGATGACTCCATCAAAACACTTTTGGACAACTCTTCTCAAAGTGGCTGGCCGGTTCAGTGTTAGCAGCTTCTGAGTTGCTCACCTCGCCTGGAGTCCAGATTTTTCTAGTGAATTGAATGAAACAAGCAAAAAAGCAGCAGCAGAATTTATTTAGAAAAGTTAAAAGTGAGGAGAGAGCAAGAAACTGGCTTTGCAGAGTTGAGCTTGGGTCAAATAAAAGGAAAAAAGGCAAGATAGAAGGACACCCTGGAGAGAGTGGGGCCGGCTGTCCGAGAAAGCCATCATAGCAAGCTCATCTTGGTGTCTGTGACCTTGTCTACTGTCCAGATCTCCAAGGTACCCTCAAGCCAATTTATGTGCTGCACTGTGTCTGGGATCTAGTAATTAACTGGTCACTCCTTCCTCAGCCAGTTTTGCCCCGCCCTGGTCTCTATTGGACTGATGTCTTTTTTTGAGACGGGTTTTGCTCTGTAACCCAGGCTGCCCTTGAATTTGCAGCCTTCCTCCAGCCTCAGCTTCCTGGAGAGCTGGGATTATAGGTGTGAGACGTGACGTCTACTTCTACTTTTTAGGTTCTTCTAGAAAACCTTTTATTTTTAATCAGTCTCTCACTACGAGCTTCTTGAAATTTATCTTTAAGCCTTTGTACAAAAGAAATGTACAAGTGAAAAAGGCTTACACTTTGCTGAGATAAATTAGATGACTTTGCTGAAGTAAGTTACACATGCTGATTGCAAACAGTTGTGCTGGATAATCACCCCTGGTTTCCTAACACCCTGTTGTGTTATCTTTAGGGTTTCATAGATTAGGGTTTTGTTTTTCTTTCTAAAGCTTTTATGGAGAAGATCCTAACTGCAGGATGTTAGGGAAAGTATTTTTACATAATGTATTTTGTATACAAGGTTTATGGTCACATGTTTTAAGAGAAACAAAAACATGGCTCCTTTGTTTTAGAAATAGATTTCAGATGCTTTGGTTTACCAATTACTTTTACTAGCACCTAACCTTGAAGCTAGTTTGTGAGAAATGACTCTTAAAGTTTTGAGGCTGAAGTCTTGTACTGACTGTTGATTCTTGCTGGGGAGAGGTTGATTGTTTGAAGACCCTGAAAAGATCAATGAAAGGCATGTTTGCCATTTGTCTTTGTACAGTGCAGGCAATTACGTGGGTTAGGTTTACACACACACAAACATATTAACAGTGACTTAATAATGAAAACTGATAGTTGTCAAAAACCCTGTCTTGTTTTTTTCTCTCTCTTTTTAGATGAGATCTTTGCTAAATGTCCAGGCTGGCCTCAGACCCACCACTTTCCCACCTCAGCCTATTGAGTAGTTGAGATTACAGTACCCACTTACTTCTTGTCTGTATTTTGTTGCCACTAAATCTTTTTGCTAGGCCAGCCATGGTGGCTCAGCACTGGCAAGGCTGACACAAGAAAACTGTTGCAAGTTCGAGGCCAGCCTGCGCTACAAAGTGAATTCAGGGCCAACCTGAACTGCATAGTGAAAGTCTGTCTCAAAAAGGAGGGAAAAATGATTCTTGCTAAACTGACTATACTTTTTAAAAAGTTTGCCTCAAAATGGATCCTAATAAAGTTGACTATTACCATTTATTTTTTAAAAAATAAACATCATTTTAATATGTGTTTTAAAGCTACAAAGATTCACCATTTATTTACCACTTACCTCAGGCATTACTGAATTA